CATACACACACACCACACACAGTGCAGCACACACTTCCACATTCACACCTGTGCACACATGACACAGCACACACACACACACCACACACAGTGCGGCATGCACCTGAACATTCACACGTGAGCACACATGACACAGCACACACACACACACCACACACAGTGCGGCATGCACCTGCACATTCACACATGAACACTCCCTACACAGCACAGACACACACACCACACACAGTGTAGCATGAACGTGCACTCATGACACATCACACCTGAGCACTCATGACACGTCACACAAGTGCACAGAGACATACAGGAGGTCTGACAATTAAATGTGCAAACTTGCGAACACATGTGTATGTTGCCAGCCCAGCACACACAGCCCTGTGAGGGGTCATGACCTTGGTGTGTCAGCGTGTCCCAGCTGTGTTCATGTCAACATACGGCATGTCCTGCTGAGTGGTGGTCATTACTGTTGTTGCATGTTTTGGGGCACTGTCATGAGAATATCAGAGCTCAAATTAGAGCAGTGACAATCATTTGCAAATTTCTCCTCACTCTTGGCAAGAAGTTAAATCAGGAATATGTTAGTCCAATTTTATGGGGATAATGCCATGAACAAAAGGGCAGTGGGTTAAATGCTTTTCTGAGAAGAAAGACAGCATCATTGATGAAAATTGCAAAAATTTATCAAATTGTGCATCAAAATCACCATTGACTGTGAGAAGCACAGGAGACCAAGTACACATCAATAGAGCAGCAGGAAAATCTCAATTGAAAATCTCAGCCAACAACTCATGGCTCTTGCATCACAACAATGCACCAGCTCACATGGCAGTGTCTGTGAACAAGTTTTTAGCCAGTAAACAAATAACTGTTTAGGCATACCCCACCTACTCTCCTGATCTGGCCCTCAATGACTTTTCTCTTTGCCTAAATATAAAGGAAATATTGAAAGGAAGACATTTTGATGACATTCAAATGGCATCAAGGGTAAGACAGAGAAAGGTCTGATGACCTTTCTAGAAGAAGAATTCCAGAATTGCTCTGAAGGGTGGACTAGGTACTGGCAGGGGTGCCCAGCTCCCCAAGGGGAGCACCTCAAAGGGGACCATATGATATTCATCAGTGAAGTGTGTAGCACTTTTTCTAGGATGAACTTTGAAAACTTAATTGACCTCTATTGCACATTTGCTTACCACATATACACACACCATGCACACACAGGAACACGCACACACACAGATGCACACAGGTGCACTCCCCACACACACAGTGCATCTGCACATACACACACCATGCACACACAGATGCACACAGGTGCACTCACCACACACACAGATGCACACAGGTGCACTCACCATCGTCCCCCACGAGGTGCGTCTATACCTACACGTCCATGCGCAAGTGTACACACACAGCAGAGCTGATGTCAGCAGGAATCAGCAGGTTTGCACACCCACAACTCTATTCTATAGTCTCCACTGAGAGCACAATGCCAAGGGGCGTCTTTCTTGATAAGCCAATGAAACAAAACCTTGCAGTGAGTTCTGTTTGGTTGATTTTCCCCTCCAATTGGCCACCTGGGCCCTCACACCACCTCCTGCTTAGACAGATGTGGCTTGTGAGGGGGATAGAGAAGACAGGGTGGGATCCAGTCACAAGAAGAGGGACAGGAACAGGTGACCAGAGCCCCGAACCTGTGGCCACTGAACTTACAGACAGTTACCTCATAGGAAATGTCACAGACAAACCCTGGAAATAGGAGTCCCTACTCAGTGGACATGACACTCACTGCCTGCTCTGCACCCAGCGTCACCAGCAGTGGGGCCTGAGGTGCATAGACCATGGCTGTGGCCCTGCACCTGTAACTCCCACGGAGGGATGCAGCTCAGGTGTAGACTCTCTGCTACGGAAGAAGCTGTGCCCGTGAGCAGGCTGCGGCAAGGCCATGCTCTCTCAGCAGACAGAGTCTGGGCAAGCTTGGAGGAGACAGGGTCTGATGGGTCAAGAAGACTTTTGGGCTTAGGGACATAGGCCAAGGCCGGTAGTAAGGCCCTTCCTGACCTGTGGCCATCAGCAGCACAGGTGCCCTGAAGCCTGGGTGAGGTGACAGGGCTGAAGTGATTCATCACCTCAGTATGGCCTCAGCCAGCTCTGCACACCACCTGACACAGCTGTGTATGCAAAGCCTTGTCCTGGGTGCCAGCTAACAAGGGTGACAGTGCAGTGCCCCTTGGCCTGATTTTCCTGCCCTGCTCCATGTGGGAATTGTCACATTAGAGGTGGAGCTGAGTTGTGCAGAGCCTGGCTGGTGACCTGCACTCCCCAGGGCATCAGCACATTGGTCACCCATTTGCTCTCCCTGCCCCGACAGCCCCATGGCCACTCTGGAGTAGAACTGGGATGAAGGAAACAGCAGCCTTGCCTCAAGCTCAAGCAGCCAGAGAGAATGGCAAATGCCATCCACCTCCCCTCCTCCGTTGCAGGTGAGGGGGAGCTCCTGGTGCAGCCGTGGGGCCGAGGGAGAGGCAGGGCAGGGCATGAGCCTGCTAGAACTGCTGGCCTGTCTTGCCCACACCAGCTCCGAGATAGGTGAGATGGCCCTGCACTGGGACTCTCGGCTGGTGGATTTGGGGACGGCGCAGAGAGAGCAGTTAAGGTAAGTCATGGGATATTTTTTTTAACTTCAATTTAATATGAGGATGCAAATTTTGGGGTTATACTGTTCTCACTTCCAAGTTCAAGTTCAAGTTGTAGGAGAGCCCCTCACCCAGCGGGTTGTGCTGAACACCGTCACACTGTGCACATTAGGTGAGATCCCACCAAATGCCCTCCTTTCACCAATCACCCTCCCTCCTCCCCTCCCCCTCACCCCTGCCCCTTGCTAGACTATGTGTTTCTTTTATCATCCATGCTGGAGTGTAAATGTTTATATATTGGTTTCATATTAGTGCTGAGTACACTGGATACTCCCCCCACCCCCATTCTTTAGATACTTTACTAAGGAGAATGTGTTTCAACTCCATCCAGGTAAACATAAAGATGTAATGTCTCCTTTTTATGGCTGAATAGTATTCCATGGCATACATATACCACAATTTGTTACTCCATTCATGGGTTGAGGGGCCTTTGGGTTGCCTCCATGACTTTGCAATTATGAACTGGGCTACAGGATATTTGGGTTCAAATGTCTTTGTGGTAAAATGATTTTTGTTCTATTTGTAACAAGCTGCCAGCTGAGGCTTCCTAATAGGCTGAGCTTGGTCTCAGCAGAAACTGCTGCCTTACGGAGAGTCCAGGGCCCCAGCAGGGATCCCTCCCTTGCTCCCCACAGCAGGGCTACTTCTGTACCAGTCCTGGGGGCTCACAGCCACCAACACCCTACACCAGAGGTCTCCCCACACTGACACCCTCATGGGTATTTCTGGACAGAGGCACCTACGGGACCCCTAGACCCCACCATCTGAGTGTTCCCTGGGTTTGCTGCAGAGCAGCTGGGTAACTCATCTGCCTTCCACTGACCACAGTTAGGCCTCCTCCAACAGGATGGGGTCTTAGCCCTGGGGTGGCAGGACTTCTGGGACCCTGTCTCCCCACCCATGGGTGGGGCTGTTCCTTATTACTCCTGTACTAGCCACAGGAATCTGCACTCACCAGCACCAGCGCTCAGCTACCGGTGATGCTAATAATTTCTCTATTATCCTGTTCCTGGCTCTAACTCCAGGAGGCTTCCACTATCTGGTTCTTTCCTGACCAACAGATGATGGGTGTGTGCCCTTCTGGAACCTGCCTCCGGCATCTCTGTCTGGGATTCTTCCAACACCACTGGGTGATGGCCGGGTGGGAGGGCACCTGACCCTGAGTGGTGACGCCCTGGAACCCACACGTACCTCCCGGCGCAGGAGAATGGGGCTGGGGTGGATCCCGCCTGGCCGATCACAGCCCAGCGTGGGGGGCAGCAGTGTTCTCAGGAGAACCAAGGAACAGGGCAAAGGGAGCAGGCTGCCTTGCTCTCTGTCAAGGACAAAGCCACTGTGTCCAGACAGACTCCACACACTTGCCGTAAATAAATGGATGTCCAACAAGTTAAAGAGCATAACAAATCAGCTAAGGTTTCACCAAGCGTCACTCTGCCTGGGGCAGGGAGCATGTTGAAAAGTCACATTTCTTTGGGTCTGATTTCCACAGTCCTCTTGTGATGTCAGATTTTTTCCCTAGATCTTCGGGACTGGGTATCTTGAGTTGAAACACAATTTTGCTGCTTGAGATTATAATGAAAGTCTTAGGCACAAACACACATTGGTTTAAAATATTTATTGATTAAAAAAAATTTTAAATTTTTTATACAAAGATGATGAGAAAAATCTCATGCAAACTCTGGGCATACAATAAAAATAACTCAAATATTAATATGATGGTTTTGTACAAAATAATTCTTTTGTAAGTAGGACCTGTGACGGCCAGGCCTAGGGGCCCCTCGGAGGAATGGACAGTCACCTTTCGCAACTGAGAGTGATCGCGGTCGCGGGTGGGACGTCACAGTTATCACGATGGTTGACAATGAGGACCCTATTGCTACTACTCAGAAAATGAGACCAGAGCTGGGGACGGAGTGAGGAACCCCCCACTCCACGGAAATCCTGGGGGAAGGAGGTAATCCACGGAGGCTTTCAGAAAGGTTTTGGGTAATTGTCTTAAGTGATGAAACGTGTTGAGATTGTTCTAGATGGGTCCCATTTCTGCTGAGTTACCAACCTGCAGCTGATTTATAATGTGTGTTTATTACAAGTAATTTGCATAATTAAAACAATTAAGAGATCGACATAATTAGGAATGCATCAAACTGTGGACGTCGTACAAAAGAGAGCTTCAATATGAAACAGTAATCCTCTGAGAAGGGAGACCCGGCAGCCCCGCCGCTCCACCCCGCCTCTGTGTGTGCTGGGAGACCCCTCGCGCCCCACTCCCTGTGCCACCCACCCGGGTCTTATTGCGTCTTTACAAACTCATCTCATTTTCCGCAGCCTCAGCCTGTTTTCCTTGTCTCGTTTCTTAAGAATAAGTATGAATTGGTTGAAAAAATGCTCCTGGTCTTTCCTTTTTTGAACAAGTCGAAATCTCTGATCCCGGCCATATTTCTCAGCAAACTCCTTAAATGTGGTCCTGAAAGAGAAAGAGTTTCCTGGGCCACTTCCTCTGAGAGGGACTGTCATTTCCTGAGTGGCAGAGAGCTCCAGGGGTGCTGCAGCCAGGTAGCACCTGCTCCCCACAGATTCCCTCGGGCCCCGCCCTTGTAGAGCCCCAGCCCATCTCCTGCAGCACCCCTGCCAATCCTGCCACCCCACCCGTCACAGCTTCCCCCACACAGGTCTGCTCCACCCACCCCTTGCCCCTCTCCCTGTGCTCCGGCCGCCTGTGTGCCCTGCCGCCTGCCTGCCTCCCTCTCCGCTTCTTCCCTCACCCAGTTAGCGCCCACTTGTCATCCTCCTGACACGCTAGTAGTGCACCTCCTTCGGAAACTCGCCCTGTGCAGAGTCCACAGAGCTGTGACTCGCTCTCTCATGGCCCCATCAGTTAACGACCTTGTCAAACCTCAGCTGTGCACTCTGGACACTCCTCACTGAAACCCAGACCCTAGCACCTGCTCTGGTCCAGTGAACATCCTGCCAGGCCCACGGGACCCAGCACAGTTAGCACCAAATGCCAGTGGAACCACCTGTCACTTCCAGGCCAGGAAATGTCCATGAGAAAACTCGAGGGGCCAGCCTGGGCACCCCCGGCCATCAGGAGGGCTGGGGTGGCTCCAGAAGCCGGGCAGTGGGTGCTCATCTTTAACCACCGAGGGACCTGTCAAGCTCTGGAGCTCATGCTGCCCATTTGCCCAGACTTGGACTTGAACACAGGGGCAATGGCAAGTGTAGTGTGGCCCCAAGGAACTGGCTATGTGACACACTCACCCGTCCAAGGGCAGACAAGTTTTGCCACCTGCCTCCCAGCCCGGGGTCCTCACTGTTGAGCAAGGACTAGTCTGGAGGAGCGTCCCCAGGCTCCAGCAAAACCACCACCATTCTCTGTCCAGGGGACTCTTGTTAAACCACGTTTCTCTCTACAGAGAATTGTATATTTCCTTGCAGACACTTAATTATTGTATTAAATTATTCTAACATAATAGCTTTGTAAATACCTGAACAATAGATTATACTGACATGGCTGTTAGAACACAAAACGAATAATTAACAGACTGGTCCTCACTGTCACCACTGAACTGTCTTCATCCCATTTTCCTGCTTAGTCTCTGGGGGGCTTGTCACACATCTCTCCAGAAGAAAAACACTTCTATACGGTTGTCCTCTTATTTCCTTGTCCTCTCTCCTCCCTCCTTCCTCCCCCCCTTCACTCCCTCCTTCCTCTCTCCCTCCCTCCCTTCCTCCTTCTTTCCTCCCTCCCTTCTTCCTTTCTTCCCTCTCTCTTTCCCTCTCTCCCTCCTTCCCTCTCTCCCTCCTTCCCTCTCTCCCTCCTTCCCTCTCTCCCTCCTTCCCTCTCTCCCTCCTTCCCGCTCTCCCCCTCCTTCCCTCTCCCCTCCTTCCCTCTCTCCTCCTTCCCTCTCTCCTCCTTCCCTCTCTCTTTCCCTCCATCCCTCCCTCCCTATCTCCCTCCTTCCTTCCTTTCTTCCCTCCCTCTCTCTTTCCCTCCATCCCTCCCTCCCTATCTCCCTCCTTCCTTCCTTTCTTCCCTCTCTCTCTCTTTCCCTCTCCCCCTCCTTCCC